CCATGGAGAAACCTTTAAAAATACCTTATCACCACCTAATGCTCAACTTTCACGCCTTTCAAGATCAGCATAGGATTTTTGTCTGCCTAAAGAAATTTTCAAACGATCCTTAATGATTTTCAACTTATCTTCAGTTTGTTGCACAATCTCAGGACCCACAAATTTTCTTTCACCAACCTCGTTCCAACAAAGAAGCGTTCTACATTTTCTCCCATATAAAGCTTCATAAGGAGGCATGCCTATACTTAATTGGTAGCTATTATTGTAAGCAAATTCTATTAGGGCTAAGTGTCTGTCCCAACTACCCTCAAACTCGATAATGCAGGCTCGAAGCATATCCTCCAAGATTTGTATTATCCTCTCAGACTGGCCGTCTGTTTGTGGATGGAAAGCGGTACTAAAATTCAACCTGGAACCCAAAGCTTCTTGCAAGCTAGACCAAAATCTGGATGCAAACCTTGGATCTCTGCCAGACACAATAGAAACAGGGATTCCATGCAGCCTCACAATCTCATTAATGTATAATTCTGCCAAACGTTCCAGTGAGTAGTCCATTCTGATTGCCAAGAAATGAGCACTCTTAGTTAGTCTATTTACAATGACCCAAATTGCATCATGATTTCTTTGAGTGCATGGAAGTCCAGAAACAAAGTCCATCGTTATCTTTTCCCATTTCCATTCAGGTATTGATAAAGGTTGCAGTAGACCAGCTGGACTTGATGTTCAGCATTATTTGTTGACATGCCAAGCATTTAGAAATGAACTCTGCAATGTCTCTCTTCATACCACTCCACCAGTAGTGCTCCTTAATGGTCCGATACATTTTAGTACCTCCAGGATGCATTGCATAAGATGAACTATGTGCTTCAATCAAGATCTGATTCCTCGATCATCATCACTAGGAACACACAACCTATTTTTATTAAATAAGGTACCATCTTTCCTTAATGAAAAATCTGATTCTCTTCCATTTTGGACTTTGTCAACCCGTTTCACAAGCTTCTCATCTAACTTCTGCGCTTCTTGGACTTGCTCAAGTAAGACTGGCTTGACTTGCAAATTAGCAATGATAGAACTATTAGAATTAAATGAAAGGCAAACATTCATGGCTCTTAATTCAAGAAGTAAAGGCAAAGAACTTAGAGTTAAACTTGCAAGGGAATTGCGACTCAACGCATCTGCAACCACATTGGCTTTACCAGGATGATAATCAATCGTGCAATCATAATCTTTGATGAGTTCAAGCCATCTACGTTGTCTCAAGTTTAACTCTTTTTGTATACCCAAGTACTTCAAACTCTTGTGATCAGTAAATATGTGACACTTCTCTCCGTACAAGTAATGCCTCCAAATTTTTAAGGCAAAAACAATGGCATCAAATTCAAGATCGTGAGTGGCATAATTCAACTCATGCGATTTCAACTTTCTAGAGGCATAAGCAATTACTTTCCCTTCTTGCATCAAAAAACAACCCAAGCCACGGTGAGATGCATCACTGTATACCACATAATCTTTTCCTTCAGCTGGCAACGAAAGTATTGGAGCTTGTGTCAACAAGGATTTTAGCTTTTCAAAGCTCTCTTGACACTTGTTATCCCACACAAATTTGGCGTCTTTCCCTAACAGTTTGGTCAAAGGAGAAGCTATAATATAGAAGCCCTTCACAAACCTCCTGTAGTATCCTGCTAAACCCAACAAACTTCATATCTCAGTTGGAGTTTTAGGGAGTTTCCAATCAACAATAGCTTGAATCTTACTAGGATCAACCTTCACACCTTCAGCTGATACAATGTGCCCCAAAAAGCCACTTCATTCAGCCAAAATTCACATTTGGAAAGCTTTGCGTAGAGTTATCTCTCTTTCAGAATTTGCATGACAATTCAGATATGCTTATCATGATCTTCTCTATTCTTGGAATAGACTAAAATGTCATCAATAAACACCACCACAAATTGATCAAGATAAGGCTTGAATACACGGTTCATTAGATCCATAAATGTAGCATGAGCATTTGTCAAACCAAATGACATTACCAAAAATTCATAATGGCCATACCTGGTCCTAAAAGCAGTTTTAGGAACATCTTGTTCCCTCACGCGCAACTGATAATATCCAGACCTCAAGTCAATTTTTGAGAATAAGTTGGCACCCTTCAGTTGGTCAAACAAGTCATTGATTCTAGACAGTGGGTATTTGTTCTTGATTGTTACCTTGTTCAGCTGTCGGTAATCAATGCAAAGCCTAAGAGTGCCATATTTCTTTTTTACAAATAAAACAGGAGCTCCCCAAGGCGAAATACTGGGACGGACAAAACCTTTCTCAAGAAGTTCTTGCAATTGAGCCTTCAACTCCTTTAATTCAGCTGGAGCCATTCTATAAGGAGCGATAGATTTAGGAATAGTTTCAGGGACAAGATCTATAGGAAATTCAATCTCCCTTTCTGGAGGCAACCCAGGAAGATCATCAGGAAATACATCAGGAAAGTCGCACACAGTTGGTATGTCCTTAAGACTTGGACTCCCTAATCGTATATCGACTATATGAGCAAGATAGGCATAACAACCTTGACAAATCATCTTCCTTGCCAAGACCGCAGAAATAATATTAGATGTCAATGATCTTTCTCCTTGAACTACTATGTGTTAATATGCATGAGTTCTAAAAGTCACTTGCTTCAACCTACAATCAACCAATGCATGGTGCCTATGGAGCCAATCCATACCAACAATAACATCATAGTCTTGGAAGGGCATTTCAAGCAAGTCGGCAGGGAAGACCAGATTTTGAATCAAGAATGGACAATCTCGGTAAATCTTGTTAACAACAGCCTGATGACCTAATGGACTCGTAACCAGCACATCAAAGTCAAGTCTCACAAATTTAACAGTATCAGGAAATGCAAGTGATGAGCAAACATAAAAGTGCGAAGATCCAGGATCAAATAATGTAACAACAGATATGCCAAACAAGAAAAATTTACCAGCAACCACGTCTGGGCCATCCTGGTCATTCTTCTGTCTCATAGCATAAACTCATGCAATAGCTCTTGTCCCACTAGCCTGTTTAGCTCCACCCGAACCCGCTGCTTTCATATTTTAAGGTCTAGCACTGCTATTAGCTTGAGAATGAGTAGTGATAGGCTTTTGAACTGATCCCTCTGTATGTGTATAAGAAAGAGGATTAGGATTAGGACAATCATTTACTTTATGATCCATACTTCCACAATTAAATCAAGCACCAGAAGCTCGTCTACATGCACCATAATGATTCTTCCCACACTGTGCACAAGTAGGTGTATGAGTTTTGCCTTGGCCATAATTTGGAGTACTAGCAGTAGAAAAATTCGACTTATTCTGTTTATAATGTAATGATTTATGTGTACTCTCAGTCTTGGAATAGTCAAACTTTCCCTTTTTGGATGGACCGCCATAATCTAAATTACCCTTCCTAAACCTATTTTCTCTCCTACTAGCTTCTTCCTTGTCAATTCTTTCCCAAGTAAGTGCAGTTGAAATCAGCTTGGAAAAATCCTCAAGTTGTAAGATTGCCACAGATTTTCAAATGTAACCACTCAAACCTTCTTCAAATCTTCTGCACTTGTCTCTTTCACCATCAATAATACCTCCAGCATAGCGAGAAAGCCTGAAAAAGTTTTGTTGATACTCTGCAATAGACATACTCCCTAGTCTTAAATTCAAAAACTCTTTCTTCTTAGCATCACAATAGATAGGGGAACATATTTTGCACGAATGATTTCACAAAGTCATCCCAAGTTAGCACTGGAGGTTTTGCTTTTGCATTTGGCACACTTACCCACCAATCATAGGCATCTTTTTGTAAAAGAGAGATAGCATACTTAAATTTGGCAGCATTAGAACAGTCCAGTTGTTTAAAGACCCTCTTCAAGCGCTCAAGCCATTGTTCAGCTACCGTGGGATTAGTAGTGCCTTCAAATTCAACTCCGCCCATTTTTCTCATCTTCTCAAAATTCATTTCACTAGGTTTTGACATTGTCCCAGCCAAGTGACGAAAGTACTCATCCATCTACTGGAATGGAGGAGTCATAGATGGAGTATTATGACCCGTTGCTCTTGGATTACTGCCCACCTCATTTTCACGAACACGAGGATGATTTAGGCTAGGCACGGGTTCCTCATCTCCTCCCTAAAGGTGAGGTATGGCATCATATTGGGCCTGACTTTCATCAACGGATTCAATAGCTCTATTCGAAGAAGAGGTCATATTAAAATTCCTATAAAAGATAAGATCACACTGCATTAAGGACATGTACATGATGCATATGCACACGGAATACAATAAATTACATTAAACAAGTATGCAAAAATTTATAAACTCCAAGTCATTTTCAAGAAAGGAAATAACAACAAATACTAGGTACGATCACAACAAAACAAATCCTAGAATCACAAACCTAGGCTATAATACCAAAACTTGTAGAGTCCCCTTTGGGAGGGCGCTACTTAGGAAACAAAACTAATTCACTACTTATAAAATATTAAAAAAGATATTAGTTAAAAATATTCAGAATAATTTAGTAGCGGAAATAGGCCCATGCGAAAAGGTTCAAAGTGCGATATATATATATATATATTTGTACACTTCATATTATTATTTTAAACAAAATACAATGTCAAAATATCAACATAAGGTGATATAACCCTTCTTGAACAATCAACAGAGTAAAGCAACTTCTAACAAATTTATACATTCATTCAACATCACTGCAAGTTTTTATTGTACATAAATTTCAAACTATCGGATAAATAAAAAAGGAAACTAGTTTTTCTCCTTTGAACATATTTACAAGAAAAAGTGTAAATTCAGCATATTACAAGACTTGAGTTATTAACACACCCTAAAACAGTAAAATAGGTTATCAAATTCAAGTTACAAGATTTTTGTTTTTAAAATCCAACAAGCCTCCAAATAATATGCATAAATGTAGCATATATACATATATATCATGTACATGTCCCAAAACTATGCAAAACCAAGGTGCATATGCAAATGTGATCTCCATAAGTTCTCCCAAAAAGACTACTTCATCATGGCCATCTTTAGATTTCATCTTGAACATTACCTACGATAGAAACAACTATCGCTAAGCATAAAGCTTAGTGGTGTATAAACTTTAGGCTTGGAGTCATTAAATTCTCCAATTCCCCTTTTTAGTCATAGTTAGCTCAATTTAACATAATTTAAAACAAGTGAACAAATATATCAAATATCAAACTTTGAAGTGTTTTCAAATATTAATAACAATGTTCAAGAGTCGAGAAAGCGTATACTATCAATCTAACAGAGTATACCAAATATCCATTTTCGCCCAATATGTACGTCATGTCATCACACTAAGAATAATCAAATATCAAGATGGACCGAAGCCCCAAATCAAGTAGGGTCAAAACTCAATAGGCAAGAGAATCAAGAACCATATTTAAATTGGCTTCCTAGTTCGTACCTAACATGGACAAGTTCCATAATTCAAGAGGAACTACAAATCCAAAGTTAAGATGGCAAAAGATCCGAATCAAGAGGCATGCCAAGATGAGTGACAAAGTCACTGCCACAAGAAGGACAAAGTCCCAAAAAGAATGCAAAATGATCAAACAATCCGTACGAATGAGCGATTTAGCAAATATCTTACAATACTTGATATATACGAATATAACAATATAAATTGAAGACAAGAAAAATAAAATATCAAGTTATTTCAAAATATGTCAGCAAGCAAAAAGAGTATAAAGTTTATATACAAACCTTGGTGTTTTACCACAAAACATTTCAATCACAACTTGGGGAAGTTCGAATCGTCCACGCCGTAAACAAACCAAATTCGTCCACTTCCTCAAATACTTCCCCTTTGATTTTTTTCAAGGGTTTATATACCTTATTACATAATCAAATATATAAATATGTTCAGTGATTTAACATGTCAAACTAAACATGATATTGGTGAAAATTACCCAAAAATGTTTGAAACAGAAATTCTGGACCGTATCACTGTTTTGTGTTGTGACTCGGATTTAAAGATCTATACGAATAAACTAGACTGTATAGCCTTCATAAAAGTTGTAGATCTATGTCTTATAATTTCAGAACATCTTAAATCACCTCCATATCAATTTTTAACAAAAAGTTATGCTAAAATTATTAACAGTAGTACATGGAGTATTTCTAAAACTGGAAATCTGGGCAGCACCTGCCCTGTGTTTTCTAATCCTTTTTCAGGTAAATACCAGCAAAACTAGATTTTGGTTCCTTCATAAGAATTATAGATTAATGAAATACCTTTTCAGAAAGTCCTGGATCACGTAAACCGGAGCTCTGTACAAAACGATATGTAAAAAACACTAATAGATGTCTAGTGTAAAAACGAGTTTAGAAACTTACCACAAAAGAGAGGAGCAACTTGATCTTCACCAAAAACGAAATTTGCTGGTTGATTTAGTAGAAATCTATGGTTGTTTCATGAAAGTTTTAGATGCTAAGAAGGAGAGAGAAAGAGGGGGAGGGGATTCTTTTCTTTGTCTTGAAGAATAAAAAAAAGGGAGTTTATGGAAAACTTAGTTAGTCAAAGTTAACTTTAAGAATTTTGGATAAATATGAAATAAAAATAGTTCTCCAACTACTAAATATTCTTAGATAAATACAAAAGGTTGGCAACCCAAAAACTTAATTATATGTTGTATTTAATAATAACTCATCAAAATAATATTAAGTATTACATATAGTAACACCATGGAACTTCTTTGCCAATATTAACACAATCTAAAGTAAGAAATTTTCATATATTGAAAATTTCACATTTAGGAAGCGCAAAGTAAATATCTCCTCGTTATAAAAATGTTCAATCAAGAATGTAAATATTATAAAAAAATTTGGGGTGTTACACCCCGAGCATGATTAACCCTGGCACATACATATATGCTCGTCACCTCATATATGTATCACCCCTGCATGTAGCAAACAATGGCAAATAGGAGAAAAAATTCCCTCAATAAAGTTAGGCAAAACACTTACCTCAATTCGGCTAACTCAACACTCAATCTAACCTTTTTCTCTACAAATTCGCCTCCGCTCGACTCAATCTAGCCTTTTTCTCTACAAATTCACCTCCGCTCGACTCAATCTTGCCAATGGCGACTTGAATACATCATCACAATGCAAGAGAAAACAATTTCAATTAATAAAGCTGTGATTTTTATTCAATTTTTAAAAAGTAAACAAAAGTCAAACCTCAAGACCACCCGGTCAAAACCCGGGTCCAAGGGTAGGTCTTGACTACCCATAGCCTCACGAGTCCAAATATATATTTTGTTTTCAAATCCGAGTTTTATTCGACTCTCAAATCTCACATTTTTATTTTTCAAAATTTTGAAAAAGTCCCCTAATTTTTTCGTAGATTTCTCATGAATTTGATGTTAAATCTTGTATAAAATCATGAAATATAGTTGAAAATTGATTAAACATACTTACCCAATGATTTGGTATGAAAATTCCCTCTCAAAATCGCTTTACATCGAAGCTAGGGTTCAAAATATATGAAAATGCAGCAAAAACTCGAAATTCTTTGCACTTAACAGGTTGAAGATGTCGCATTTGCGACAAGGGGTTCGCAAATGCAAACCTCGCAAATTCGAAAATAATATCGCAATTGTGAACTGGAGACTTCCTTGTTCAGGTCGCATTTGCGACTAAAACTTCGCAAATGCGAAAACCAGCTTTTGCAAATGCGGCAGTCTCATCGCAAATGCGAAAAATTTTCCAACCGCCCAGGCTTCGCAAATGCGAAGCTTTTTCGCAAATGTGATCGCGGCATTTGCGACCAGAAACAAATGCGAAGAAACCAGAACCAGCACTCAAGATTCATGAAAAATCATTTTGGAACCAATCCGAAACTCACTCGAGCCCTCGGGGCTCTAAACCAAATATGCACACAAGTCTAAAAATACAACACGAACTCGCTCGCGCGCTCGAATCATCAAAATAACCTCTAAAACCACGTATCGGACGCCAAAACGCATGAAAATCTAACTTAAACTTCAAAAACTTCTAGAATCGCAACCGAGCGCCCGAATCATATCAAATCAACTCCAAACGGCGCTAAATTTTGCATACAAGTTCTATATGACAAAACTAATCTACTCAAAGCTTCAAATCACGCATAACAACCTCGAAGCGACGAATCACACCTCAAGTCGAAATCAAAGAGTTTTAAAACTTCAACTTCTACAACCGATGTCGATACCTATCAAACCACGTCTAATTGACCTCATGCACACTGTCACATTTGCCATTATGGACCTATTCCAACTTTCAGAATCGGAATCCGATCCCGATATAAAAAAGTACACTCCCCGTCAAACTTCCCAAAAATCCAACTTTTGCCATTTCAAGACTAATTCAACTACGGACCTCCAAATTACAATCCGGATGCGCTCCTAAGTCCAAAATCACCCAACGGAGCTAACAGAACTGATGAAACTCCATTCCGAGGTCAAATGCTAAAAAGTCAAACTTGATCAACTCTTCCAACTTAGAGCTCAAATCTTGAAGTTCATTCTTCCAAATCGATTCCGGATAACTTGAAAATCAATACCGACGATTTACCAAGTCATAATACATCATGAGGAGATATTCGAGCCCTCAAAATACCGAGCAAAGTGCAGATATTTAAAACGACCAGTCGGGTCGATACAATAATCCCAATTCTTTTGAAACTTTATTTGACGTAATTTCGGTGAAAAGGGAGTACTTGATGAAGGTGCTTCTTAATAATAAAATTAAACAAATTAGTAGCTCCTGAATGTATAGCCTAATGTTTTAAGGGAGCAATAACGTGCAGTTTGATAAGGACTCTTTAAAAGTTTTTGTTTTTGTCGGATAACTCTTATTTTAATAGAACATTTTATTGTAATGGCAGTTTTGCCTTTACCGGTAGAAATAAGCTTTGATGATTCTAGGATATTTTCGTACATTAACATTATTATTATTCGTGCTTTTATAATAATATTAATTAATATAATAATAATATAGAAGATATAGATATTGACATATGCTCTTATTTAATGTTCGAAACATTTTCTTCATTGTTTAATCATTGAGTGAACGCAATAAATTGGAAAATCAAAATGAAAATCAAGCTAAATTACGTTACAATTGCAAATAATGAGAAGTCAGTAGGGTACATGCAAGGCTTTCCTTCCCTTTGAATCTTACTCATACATATCATTATTTTAAATATTGACACCAAAACAATGCAAAAAATCACGTTGGAGAAACTGAGTTTGCGAAAAATTTCTTTTAACTCTACACGAATGATCTATGGTCCAACTTAATACTCCTATATTCCTGTAGACCGTTTATGTATCGTATATCCTAATTTTAAGAAAGGTGACGTGACACAACTCGTACATATTTAGTTAAACATGAATAATATAGTATTAACTATTTTCCTCAATTTATCTTTATTATTTCAATTAGTTTTCTAAAACAGTTGTAATCTCTCATCACTATTATATATGGAAGTTCCATTAAATATTTTTTGACTTGAAAAAACAAAATCCAAACCAGTAGTCCCTGGATTTTTCTTTTATAGCAAGATAATAATCAAATAATTTGACCATATATATTTTATGGTAAGATGTTCAATCAAAATGCTGTGTACCTATGATTTATCCCAACATTCTAATGAAATATGATTACTAAAACTTTTTTCAATATGATTGCTAAAACTTTTTTCAATATGATTACTAAATAGTTTATGGTAAGTCATTGAATTTGACTAGATTTTCATTGGTGGTCTCCTTCCAATTCCCAGCCTATTTAAACTCAGTAAACTTTTCATTTTAAAACATCAAAAATTCCATCCCTCTTTCTTGAGTCTCTTCCCCTCTCTCTCAGTATCTCTGTCTAAAACCTTTCATTTTCTTTGTCTCATGGATTTGGCTATGGTGACAAAGGATTCCAACTGGTGGGTGTTTACACTGCCTGCCTTTCTCGGTTCTAAAAATCTTCTTGATGAATACATAATCGTTTCCATTGTTTTAGCCTTTCTTTCAATCACTCTAATCACCTGGGCTTGTTCCCCCGGGGGTGTAGCTTGGAGAAATGGTCGTAACCGTAGTGAAAAAAAACCCAATTCCTGGACACCGTGGTTTTCCAATTATCGGTAGCCTTTTCACTCTAAGCCGCGGCTTGGCTCATCGCTCTTTAGCCTCCGCGGCTTGGACTCAAAAAGCTAAACAGCTTATGGCTTTTAGCCTTGGTTCCACCCCTGTAGTTGTGTCCTCCGATCCTCAAATAGCTAAAGAGATTCTAACTTCTCCTCATTTCGCTGACCGTCCCATCAAACAATCCGCTAAGAGTCTTATGTTTAGCCGAGCCATTGGATTTGCTCCAAACGGAACTTACTGGCGTTTCTTGCGCCGTATCGCTTCTTCACATCTCTTTGCGCCCAAGCTAATTGCAGCGCATGAGACAGGCCGTCAACTTGACTGCTCCGTTATGGTACATGACATAGTAAATGAGCAGTTGGAAAATGGGACAGTTTCTTTGAGGAGACATTTGCAGTTGGCTGCTTTGAATAATATAATGGGAAGTGTTTTTGGAAAACGATATAACAAAGACAGCAAAGAGCTAGCGGAGTTGCAAGATATGGTGAAGGAAGGATTTGAATTATTGGGCGCTTTTAATTGGTCTGATTATCTTCCGTGGCTTAGCTTTTTCTATGACCCTTCGGGTATTGTCCAACGTTGTGAAGCTCTTGTGCCACGTGTACAAAAGCTTGTCAAAACCATTATTGAGGAACACAGGTGCAGTGCCATATCCAAAATGGTGTCGGATAATGCAGATTTTGTGGGCGTTCTTTTGTCTCTTGATGGAGAAGAAAAGCTACAGGAAGATGACATGGTTGCCGTTCTATGGGTACGTAAAACTAATATATTTACATAACTGTAATTATTCACATTAAATATGGGTTTTAAATAGGGTGCCAACCCCTTAGTTTCTGGCAAAAGGTTGGCTGAGGCGGACCCAAGATTTGAAGGTGGCGGGGTATCTGAGCGAATTATTCAACCAGTGCCCCAATCAGACTTTTGATCTTAAGAGTTACAAGCAAAGTATATGATCGTTCTCAATATATATGCACGTTATGATTAGTTGTGTTTAATTTTTTAACATGTTCATAATATCCTGGTTGTGTAAATTCTTTTGATTAGACAACTTTTAATAATTGTTGACGTGTAATGGTTCTTAATTTAATGTTGTAATGCAGGAAATGATTTTCAGAGGGACTGACACTACAGCACTTCTAACTGAATGGGTGATGGCGGAGCTTATACTAAATTCCGAGGTGCAAAAGAAGTTACAAAAAGAAGTTGATAACGTCACAATGGGAAAAGTTGTGACTGATGCTGATGTTACTCGGATGCCGTATTTACAAGCGGTTGTGAAGGAAACTCTGAGAATTCATCCACCGGGTCCACTTCTCTCGTGGGCAAGGCTTTCTACATCT